TGCTACTGCCGATAGTTTACAGTTTATTGCTAATACTTTTAAAATAAATATTTACCGTCGGTCCATAACATATTTTTGCAATAAGCATTTCAAGATGATACATTAGATTTTAAATTAATACTTCAGGAACACAATGTCAAAACCGCGTTACATTTGATACAGATTTCATGATGCTGGACTGAACTCCTATTGAACCGTTTTTTAAATATTGTATTTCTCATGTACAGACATTGTTTAAATACAATTTTATTATATTACTATGATAATATATATTCTGTACATAAAATATGAGAATATCAATAATATTTGTTAAAATAATAATGTATTCTGAAATGTCACATATTTCTATTATATAACAGAAGGCTGTACCGTAGAGATTAGAATATACTGCCCTCCACGGGGATGTACGGAAACTTCTTACAGTAAATAATCGTTATGCTAAAAGTTTTAGAGGTGTTTTATACCTACTCATAATGCTACCAAACATCATACTAACTAAACTAGGCTTTAAAGTGTAAACTCTAATGTATGTTGTACAAATATATAACAGAACATTTGAAATTTTAATGCTTAAATTTTATTTCTGTCCTAAAATTTCAATGGATCATTAAATTTTAAAATAATTGTAATAAACGAAAATAACATTGAACAGTGTTGACGTAATGCTTTGGGACATAAATTAAACTATTTTTACATATAATATCTAAATAAAAATATTTAATTGAAACAACTCAAACACACTAAGGCAAACATAAATAGAATTGAAATTTTGTTTATAGTAAATAAATTTTGTGGATTAAGTAAAATGCCTCTTGTTTTTTTGTTATTGCGCTTACATATATTTTACACGTCTTGTGTCTTGAATTTAATATGACTATAAAGTCCTAAATTGCCTGAGCGTTCGCTACAAACAATTTTGAGCGCATTCTCAAAGGATAATAAAAATATAACATCTAAATAAACATTTCAACAAATTTCTTCGTTATTCATATGTTGAAACGTATCGTTTGAAAATTATTTTCTATCTGTCAATAAGGATTTTATAAATATTTTCAAAACATTTCAGAATCTTAAATTAATGCTACTACTACAGTATCATATAAAATCCCAATAGTCGGAAGTTAACTTAAAACCGACACCAATGCACTAATAAACGAAGTTATTCGTGAGATTGTAAAAAGGCAATAGCAATAGTTAGTACAAATTGTGCTCATTACTTAAATGGAAGCAATATGTTTAAAAGTAACGTTTAATACAAATTCGCTAGTCAATTATGGATCCTGGACCTCATCTGATATTAAAGTTATGATCATAGGTTTAATGTCATATAATACGATTTCATTCTTATAACTATAATAACGATAAGCATCATCGTTTTAGACGTTTTGAAATAGACCCCCATGGAGTTCTTACAACACATTTGAGGTTATCGCTCAATCTAGTGAGGGGCTGCTTTAAATTGTCAATGATCCCAAGCCCCCGATCGATATCTATTGAACCCTTAAGCCTTTTCTTCTCTCTGCGTGTTCTACCGTCTTCACAATGGACTATTCTTTGAGGAATTGTTTGACTTGATACCCATACTCAACTACCGCACTGCTCGTGGTCAACCGAAAATTTACCTTCATATATCAGAGTCCAAATATACAGCCAAGTTTGAAAAGTACTTCCTCCGTTCAGATGTTCAGATTTTACAATGAGCTTATTATATCTTCTTGAAAAGACTACAGCATACGATTAATTAAAAAGGGTTAAAAAGATGTCTTCGAAGTAAGTAAGGTGCGCGTTGTACTTTACGTACTACACAAGATTTTTAGTCTATGGTGAAAGTTAAACATCAAGAAAAAAATTATACGTTATATTAATATTATATATACAGTTCACCGATTATAAATAGCCAAAACATGTAAATAAATTTTTGCTTACCATATGTGTATATATAGGTATATATAGTCCCGTTTTATTACCATTTTTTTTTTGGCAGAAGTTAATATAATAAAATACCAAACATAATTTGAAAATCCAAAACCGTCAATAATTCTTAGAATTTGTATAACTTTGTGATATTAAAAAAAACTTTCGACATTTTATATAACGAATGTCTCAAAAAAAAACATCTAATCGTAGTGTAAGACAAAAGAATGCTTGAAGTGAACGTTTATCGGGAAATTAAACTGCTCTTATCAACACGCAAAATCACAAAACGAAAATTGACAATTTCTACTTTTACAACCACTTTTAACACGATTTGACATTATAATTCAATAAAATGTTATTATTTAAAAAGCACATCGTAATGATAAGATGAATAAAATCGATTTTGAGTAAATTGAAGGTGATTTAAAGCGATTTCATTGCCAAAAACAATCTGGAAACGTAGGCGGGTGGGGTCGGTTTGGTGCAAGCGTCGAACGCTATTTAAATTTTGCTCGCGACCTCTTCTTCGCTTGGAAAAACATCTGAGCACAGCATTAAAATTCTTTAAGTATTTCCAATAAAAGCGAACGCAGTTGGATATACAGGCGATTATTAATTAGGCGAATAGTACATTAAAAGCATTTAAGACGGCCAATAACAAAAAAACCTTTTACTTTTATCATTGCTAATTTAAGAAAGGGAACAATAACGGTAGTTTTGTGCAAATAAGTTCCCATTTCTCACTGTTCAATCAACACCTAGTAAACATATACAGATAGAAAAACAATATTAGACTAATTTCACCGTCTATCTCTAGTATTACTATAAAATTACTCCATATAAACTTGTATTTAATTTTTCGAACGTTTATAACAATATTTAATAATTAATCAAACAATTAATAAAAAAGTCTGTGTAAAAATTTTTTGTAGGAGTCTACAAATATGTCTGTATTTAGGTATTTTAAAAAGCTATGCTCGTCTAATCGCTTCTGTTCTATTTCTTCATTATTTTTATGGAAAACCATAAACTGAATTATGAATATTGGATATAAAGATGTTCAAACAGATATACAATGGGGAAGTAAATGAACCATTGCGGATAAGTATATTTTGTGATATTCACAATGTTGTTCATCTCTGTAGACGACGTTTAGTGTTTCCCATCAAGCTTCCTCTCTTCGTTTGTTCAGATTAGTGATGTGAAGAGTTAGGCTAACTCGAGGATTTACTATATAGATTTTGATCGTATATAGTATTCGATCACTTACGGTACTTAAATACTACTCATTTATTTAACATCAGTTTTTATAATTCTGTCTTAGTATTGTATCAATATTTTCTTTAATTACCAGAGGGAAAAATATTAGATTACTGAACATTTATATTTTTCATAAAACTAACTTTCTAAGATTATACTCGAGTCAAGATTCGATTATTGTTTTAATAAATACCTAAATGCTCGAATACTTAATATATAGAATCCAGGTATACAGTATTCGAACATTACTTATATCATAAATTTATTTATATTTGTTTCAGCATTTAATTAATATTTTTCTTTATTGATAAAGGAAAAATTATTGGATTACTGAACATCAATTATCTTTACAAAAGTAAACTTCAAAATCAATGTTAAAAGTATTCGAGTCTTTGTCTCGAGTCAAGACTCAATTATTTTTTCACAAATACCAAAATACTCAAATACCAATGCCAGATCAACACATCACTAGTGATGTGACAAATGGTATCAATTCTGTCATATCACTAAAATCACTGAAAATATTATAGAAAACTAAAAGCTTTAAACAGATGTAATAGATATTTTATAAAATTCCTAATATTCTCATTTTCCTACAACCATATATTACTTATTATTTAATCACATGACCAGAAAGTCGACAGAGTCCGGAACCTGCGTGCATGCATGACACGAACTATGAAAGTGAACGAAGCAAATTGTATGTATATATAATATGTAAGAACGGTGCCTGTAGCATATACATAACGAATATATTGATAAGAATAGTTTGAGTAATTATAAGATTAACCCATTTAACCCATTTGAACCGTTATCAAAAATCTGAGTCACGAATTAGTTCTATATTATTCGATTAATTACAGCAAACAATGCTCAATGCAAACAAAGAAAAACAGAGCTTCCGTCCCTACACTAAGGCATGAAATATTTAGAATAATACCAGGGAGAAAACAATATTTCAAAACAGCACGCCAATAAATTGTATCTAATTTTGATGCCTTTAAGTTGTAGCAACAGCGGATAAAACAAGATACATGAATTACTTCTCGGTAAGGAAAGTTTCTACTGCGATACAAAAGAGATTGAAGTGAATTTCTTTAACACATCATTATGCGCACAATGGTTAGATGAAGTTCTTGTGGAGCATTAATCATAAGATTCAGCCTTCCAGTGGAAGTATGCAAAAATGACAGGTACTTTATAAGAGCTCCATAGATTATGCCTACACAACGGCTACGGGCTACGGGCTACGAAAGATTGTAGCGACGCTATCTTTTACGTAAGCTTTCGTATGTTTTTTATTTGCTTAATTAGCTTTGTTTGAATAATTGTAAAAGAAAATATAATATTTGTTCTAATTAATAAAGTATATTATAAATGAATTTCTCCAGTGAATCGAATTATGAAGGTAGTTAAGTTGCCAATTGTCTCATTTGCGTGTCTTCAACACATAACAGTTCGAAGAGGCGGTAAAGTGTTTTACGCAAACAATTTCCGAAACTGAGAGGCGTAATTTCTAAATTATTGGTATGCTTTACTCTTTCAAGCACATTAACTTATATAACTAATATTAATATATAATATAATATTAAGTAATATAGAAATTTCGTCTTAATAATTCATATTCTTTAACCGCAGGCACGTCGACGCTGAAAAACTTATACTTACGTTTATAGGTAATATAAAATATTAAGTCGCATAGCAAATGTAGACAGAAAAGGCAACAAAATAGCGCCAGTATGTTATATAACCAAATACTGAACGAGTAAAAAAAAATACAAACACACTAAGGAATTATTATTGTAGGTAAACAAATGGCTTACCGCCTTCGCTGCGAAGTGGGAAGCTAACAACCGACTATTAAAGTTTATAAAACGTCTTTCAGGTGTTCTGTGAACAAAAATTATCTGTTGAACGCGGGAAGTCGCCGCGGACAGTCGCGAGGAGAGTCACGGTATCGCAGCACACGTCCGAAGCTAACGTGACGAGGCGCGAGGGTGCAATTTCGTATTACGCGGGTTCCGAGAGGGGATCGAGAGGTCCGCACGCGAGGGCGGCTCGAGTAGAAATCGGCGGCGCCCTCCGGCCACTGTTATGTAACACGCGCGGCGTAGCGCAGCGCGGCCTGAACCCCGCGCCCCGCTTTTAGGGAAAAGATGAATGAGTAAAGTTTCCTAACGGACGTTAGTCCATGGATCGCGCTCCGTTTCAGATCGGCCCGCGGTTACATAAAGCTGTTTTGCACATGCGCGCTGCGCAGCCAGTCCGCATTGTGGGCGACGCGCGCCCCCTAGGACGCCCGCGCCGGTGCCCAATACATTAAAATGATTACTACGTATTTTGATCGTTGCTGATGCTGTACCTACGCATTAATTAAGTTTACAGTAAGAATATACTCTACAGAATTTATTAAACACCAAGTTTCTCATTAAGCAGTTGTGCTTGCATGGTTGCGTTTTGGTTTGAAGGATAGGATATAAACCAAAGTTACTAGATATAAAGACTACGTATTAGTCTTCGGGAGTGGAAGCGCATGAGGAGTGTATAGGCAACATAGAGTATTCTATGATGTCCGTGGTGCCGTTCGTATCACTTTTAATAAGAAGAGCCTCAACTTGTTGCCATTCCTGCCTCCCTAAACAAAGTACAAACGAATTTATCGATAACATCGCCAACGCGAGAGTGAACAAGATAGCGCACGTCGCCATCTCATTCTATCTAATAGACTCGTTAGCGATGACGATTCTATCAACGGATTAGTTTGTACTTTGTCTAGGTGGTTTGTTATATAAAAAATGTTGTCTTTAGTTATTACACTGCAACATCATCATTTTAGCCATTAACTGTCCATTGCTAAACATAAGCTACTTCCTTAGGGGGTTTTGCTATTATAATATATACTATAATAGAAAATTGTTCATTCACATAGCACTTTTAAATACGTACCGATTTCCTTTTCTTGCATTTAGTAATTAGAATGTGGATGACAATGAATTACTCTGGATCGATTATGTAATAGATATGAGAGTTTTATACCTAATTAGCTGAATGTTGCAAGGAAATTATGTAAGTGTAAAGCTAGTAGAGGCAATATTAGAAAAATAGTTCTAAATATCAATTACGACAAAGCAAAGTCGGTACTAACCCGATGATGTCTTAACTAAATGTGAGTTGTTATTTTAACCACTCAATTGGACACATTTAGCCACCGGGTAGATACATACAGCGACATTAATAATAAAATAAAACCGATCAGGTGTGCGTTGAACTCACACGCCGAAGGTTTCGTTCATAAATATATATGAATTAGAATGACCTTCATTGCATTTCTCTTACGAAATAGATACCTATACAACAATAACCTAGTTCCGATAATTGATACTACTGTTTGTAATTTCTTATTTTAGACTGTAATAATTGTGGTTAAAAACAGAACTAAATTTTTGGAGATTATTAATATTTTTTTTTAAAACGACGCTAATTAGAAACACAGATTTTTTTCCGTAATATTCATATGTAGACCTATTAAACAGTTATGATGTAAAATTTTTCGCTATAGGAACTTCTAAGATAAGGGAGGAGGGGAAATAACTTTGTTCTCATGTCTTCGATAATACCTAAAAACTACGTAGTATAAAAATAAATAAAAATCAATTTTAAAAAGTACGAATTTAGTAGCCCTTTAGTATGATACTCCGCTTGAAGTTTTAGGGCAATTTTGAAATTTTAAGTATTCGTTTTCGACCTCATAGCAAAGAAAACAAAATATTTTTTCAATTATTTCGACGATATGGAAATCTTATCCATATTTCAAATCTATAATAGTATTTGTAGTTGCTGTGATATAACGCTGTAACAGACAGACGGATAGACGGACAAATAAATTCGCACCTTGAGGGTCCCTTTGTGCCTTTTTGATACGAAACTCTAAATATAGTCTTTTGTCTTGACATGGTATTATCTATTCTCAAATTAATCGAAGATTTTTTTATTTTTTATAAATATTACATAAATAAATAATGAACACTATAATAACAGATTTTTATAAATATATAACTATAAATTTATTTGTACTTCTGCACACATTTAAATATGTATACTCTGATGGCATTCTCTACCAGTCAACCGTTACGCTAAACAGAAGGAGTAAATGGCTATGCATTGATATAACAAAATCAAATTATAAATAAATAAATATTTTAATAAATAACAACATTCATACATTTTAAGATGAATAAATATAAAAACAAATATAGAATAATATACATACAAAAATTATACATACATAAATAACTATACGTAATACATATTAATATAATGATTATATAAGTTATGGCTAGTCATATAAAAGTATATATAACTATCTGTACAATTAATAGAATATGACCGTAACAATATAAATAGACAGGTCCTTAGCCATCAAAAGGTGAGTCGGTGTGTTAAACCGCTACACTGCCAAAGTAATAACTATCCAACTTCACCAACTTCACCGATAACCAACATTACAGAAGTTCGATATTTTAATCTAACTGCCTTAACCACACAGCTTAAACCGCCGAGGTCAGAAACGTAAAATTTTAAATAATATAGGCTCCTTTTGTAGGAACATATAAATGTTCCTTGGTTCCCTAATCTGTGTGATAGTAGTGCGTGCGTAACAAAACCAAGACAAAAATTTTCTTAGTTCTCACAGGAATAGGAGATAATGAAAAATATTTTTAAAAGGATAGCCTAACATTTAACTCGTGATATCAGTCATAGATGAACCTGTGTGCGAGTCTTTTTCAATAATTTTTGAGTCAAAATGAGATCGGCTTGAGAGAAAATAAGAATATTTTTTAATCAAGTTAACTTAATTATATTATTTTTAATTAACCATTTTTTTTATAATTCTTCCGTTCATTAAGAAAGCAATTTCAACAGAGGAGAACGGGTAGAAAACTTAATTGTTGCTTTTTTCAAACAATAGTTGAGAGAAGCAAGGAGTTCACATATTGCTGTTACTTATACTGCATTATCACGTTATTCTCGTTTTTCAACAATTACTTGAATAAACATTTTACAACTTAGTCATACTTCACACAAAGGTTTTGTATAGAAATTACGAGTAAAAGCTTTACTCGTATGTACATATGTACATATATGTTTATTCTTTACAAAAGAATATTCACATCATCTGATAATGACGTAGGTACTTAATATCTCTAAAGCATGAATGAATGGTTACAATCTCTACATCAAGTGAGCCCTCGGCTTGTTTGCCGTTCCATCGTTTGCCGTATGTAATTGTGTATAAAGAATATTATCTGTAATTCTATCTTCACAGAAGAGAAGCGAATGAAAATTAACTTTATTTAACAAGAATTAACCATTGATACATTACAGCTACGATCTTCTATATCTAAGCCTATCTCCTGGAAGTTAAAGCAAGGAAATTAAAATAGTGATTCGTAGAATTTATAAGAATAACAATACTATAATAATAACCCCTGGTGCCTCAAACTTCGGCCATTTGTTTCTGTCGGAAACTAATTAACATCTTTCCTCCTTCAAAGGGGAAATGTGATTTGATGGTAAATCATTTAATAAATTCATTATTAAATTTTCGACTATTTAAAAAAAACAACAATTCTTATTTAACGAAATATAAAACCAACCAATACCTTCCAATCCGTTGGAGTATAATAAACATCATAATCACTTCACAATAAAATTACGAATAAAATTGCGTAACATACTAAAGATACACCCAGTCTAATTGAAAATTTCCTTTTATTTGAAGTCGGTTAAGAACAAGTTTCTTTTTCATTTTTCTTTACAAAATACCTACAACCTTTACAACTGGTGGTTAGAATCATGCCTTCTGAAAAGTACTTCTTAACAAGCCTATTTAAATTAACTTCATTTGAATATGAATTTGCCCGAATTTCTCGCCGCCTACTTGGATTTTGTACAATCGTACGACAATTTTGATGACAGGGCAATTGTGTACTTTGTGCATTCTTCTTCATACCTATATTTCATTCTTTTTCTTATTATTTTCCGAGTTGTTTCTAGTAAATTCGTTAAGAAATTTTTTCTTGTCACAAAATTCAATGCTAATTTAGTAAATATGTACAGATATTAATATCTGTAGCTCAGTACTAATTTAGTTAGTCACCTTAACAATAAGGATTGTAATTATTTTTAACCATCTTCAAAATGAAGGAAATTCTAAGTCGGAAATGTACACCTGTATAAATTCTAATTATTTCAGATTTTTTACTTCAGAAACTTTGAAGATAAGTTGGTTGTTTTTCTTACATTTTCGATCATAAGTCAAAAACTATACAGCATAAAAATAAATAAAAATACAAATGAAACTCTTGAAGCTCTTTTATGATATATCCTACTTAGGTACTCTTTAGGGCCCTCTCTAACGAAAAAAATAAAACTATTTTTCGATTAATTTCATTATAATTTATGTGGGCCAACAATATGTAAAACTAATAAAATAATAAAGCCGTGCAAACACGGCTTTGTTTCAGATTTAAGGGTGTGATATGCCAGTGAAATTACAGGATACAGAGGCATTGTCTACTGCTGAACACAGGCCTCCCGCATAAAGAAGGATTTTGCCAGTAGTTGCCATGACATCCTTGGATTGGCCATAATACATTATATACCACACATTAATGGCAACACCAAAGGATATTTTTAATGGGTGTAAATAGAATAGTAACGCCCACGCTATCGGTATATCCTGACGGGGCACCAATGAAAAACGATAGATTAAAATGAAAGCAAGTTAGCCTATCGTGATGAATTCAATAAGAACTAACCACGATGTTTGGGGTAAAGGGATTGTTAGTAATGCGGACAATCAGTTTCATTGCTGGCAATATAACCTATCTGGTCCATCTTCACGTAGTTCCGCCTGGAAACCATTGTGCTCAATTCCAGATGTACTTATTACGATGGGCTATCCGACCTGCCTTTTCATTCTCATCTATTCATATCTATCAATGGTGTCCCACCAGCTTATATCGTTAACACAGGCGGGATTACCATGTCATTATCATCTATTAAAAAAAATCCACGATGGTTTTCAGGGGGAACTGATAGGGTACATTAACAGTAATGAATCTTTTAA